GATTTCCAACCCTTTTTATTTATTTATTTTTTTTAACGAAAAAGATATTTAATTACACATTATAAATTTACAATTGCACATTAAATTATCACGTTAGAAACGTACTATGATTTCATTGCGCTAATTTTGGTACACTTTATGACATGTTATAATATATAAATAAATACAAATCATTATCTCTCCTCTATACATATACATATTTAATTTATTTTGCACTTTATTTTATTCGATACAATTTGATATTGTATAATTATACAATTATCAATTGTTTCTTTTTTATATATTTATTAACTTCTTCAAACATGAATGACTAGGATGTTTAAGGTTTTATTTAGGATAAAAAGAAATTAAAAATGTGTAATATCATATCTCGCATTTTGACAAAGTGCATTATATAAATCCTCGTTGAATAAGGTCATTACATACAAAGATAAATTCAATTTAATTTTCTCTTGTCTATACTTTTTCTTTTTTATATTGGGTATATGAAATGTTGAAGAATGTGCAAAAACAATCTCGACATTGTGATAATAAGTAATATATTTATTTGTGACGGTGAAAGCGCAACAATTGGCTCATATTTTTCATTAATTGCAGCGTTGAAATGATTATTCCGTATACCATTTTGATCCGGTTGCTCGATTTAGCCCTGAGGGAAGCATCCCTATCTCCCTCGATCTTGACAAACAGTTGAGTAGCACGTGTCCTTCCAACTCCTTTCCAACGCTGAATATCTCACATTTCATCACGCGAGATGAAGAGAGTGCATACGTGAAAGCTCTTTTGCTTTCCGTACTGGAATTGGGATAAGGAATGGGAGAAATGAGTACAATTCTTATTATAGGTCGTATATATATATATATATATATATATATATATATATATATATGTATATAATACCTACGATTACGAGTGCGTCATTATTGTGTGGCATAATTTGATGTGCCAACTTCCGCTTAACATTTGTCGTTGAAGAGGAAAAGGGGATGTTATATGCGGCTACGTGCGCGTTCCGCTTTGTTCTCTTATTAAAGCTCACCCTCCTTATTTCGTACAGCGTTTGTAAACGCTCCTGCGGAGTTTACATAGGCTGCACGTGCCCTCCATAAGCCTTCAGCCTTTTCGTTGTGTTTAGACGCGTTTACGGATGTTCTCGTCACACAAAACTTCGCAATGTTGAGGTTCAGATCTATCGAGATTTCCATGTAATTAATAAAGAAAAAAGATTAATAATTATTTCGCAGTTTGCGTGTTTCAGTTTTAAAGTCCGCGTTTAGAAAAGTGATTTACCCTGAAAATCATGGCAAATATAATAACAATTTTATGTTTTTTTCTAATTAAACAAAATATTTACCACAATAAAAAATATTAATATGTACATACACAGTAAAATTAATCGAACATATTTTATATCTTATTACGTAGATATTAAATATTAATTATTAATAAATTTTTGATTATGGCAAATATTAATGAGAGAAACTCTAATAAAAATCTCTCTGTGTAGGATAAAATCATACGCGATCGTAGCCATAGTAAAAGCTAACAATAAGTAAAAGGAGTAAAAAGTGGAGAATATGACATATGTATACATAATAGAAATTGATCGTTTTGCCTGCGCACCCCAGACCCAGACTCTTGAGATTGAAGCGCGAACGTTAAAATAGAATCGTCCTCGTCGTATCAGGAAACATTGGCTCCTGGATACTTCATATGCTAAACCGCCTACGCGAGAGCGTTCTCTTCTCTCTACTTCGACGACGTAACAAAAACAGACGCGTTCTGTTTCGTGCCAGAGACCGATTTCACGTGTGCCCGGTCGCGAGTGTCGCGAGCATGGATCCCTCGTACTCTTGAGAGGGATTATAAATAGGCGTCATGCGCAAATATCGCGGTCGTTGCTACCGGGACGAAGGCGAGTCTCAAAGCAAATCTAATCTGCAAAAATCTAATCTATACTTGGCAACGCCTTCATTTTACATCTTTCATCATTGCACCTACAGATCGGCTCGTAAATTTCTCCGCTTTCCACTTTGACTTATTCTCTAACTAATAGCGAATTTGATTGGATGCACCAGTGCGCACTGAGTGCATATAAAGGTTTATCATGCACAAGTTTACAATGACACAAATAGTAAAATCTATTATTATCATTATTCATATTGAACAATAATAATAATAGCTCTTACTATTAATTATTTTCCTTTTTTTTAATTACTTGTGTCATTGTGAATTTGTGTGTGATAAATCTTTATATGCGCTCAGTGCGCACTGGTGCATTCAATCGAATTCGCTGTAAGTAAGAATAATGATGAAAAAGTAGAAACTGAAAAAGGGATGAAACGAAGAAATATTCGTATATATTTATATTGTTTTTTCAATATAAAAAATATACATCTTGACTCGGCATTATTTCGCGGCTTAGATGTATTTCTGAGGCTTAGAAAATATGGATTACAAAATCAGTAGGAAGAAAACGTTCACCATTTGTGTGTCACGATGCCGCTCCTAGCGGTATATAGAAATGTAGACGTGTGTATGTACGTCAGCACGTTATTGTTATGCCGCCAACATTTTCTTGTCCAACCAATTAACATACCGTTTGCTTCCGTTCTGTACTCTCATAGTCGAGAAATCAGTCTGCTTATTAAACTAGACACACAAGAGACTGGTAAAAATAAATCAAATATCAATTATACAAATATTTTCGAATAAAATATAGAACTTTATGCGAATAACAAAATAAAGAAAATTAAAAATTTATTCAATTATATAAATTCATAACAAGAAATAATTCGGCGACTTTTTTATTATTATTATTATTAATGTAAGCATGACAAACTTTTACGCAATTGTAGAGACGTTGTATATTGGATAAAATTTCTACTTACACATTCCTTCAAAATCATATATGTTTTCATTACTCATTCAATTTTGATGTTACATGTTGAGTGCTGTCACATGTATTGCACTTTAATATTCTATTCATGTTTTCTTGCAGAATGTGTATACAAATATAGATAACTGCTAGTCTCTCGTATTTTTATTAAAGATTTTATTAACTATACATATACTATCACCTGAAATATCTTCTCGAAAATAAAACTTCAAATATATGAAAAATTTTAGCGTGCAAATTTTATAATTTTTTAATTTTTTTTTATATAAAATTATCAGCATACAATCAATAAAGTAGACCAACTTATAAAATATTTAACATAAAAATTTCTATGAAATAATATCGAAGAAGATTTTTACTGCAACTTTCGTAATATTACATATTGTATACATATTTTTAATTAAATCAAATAAACTTGAAATAAAATATAATTAATATTAAAAAAAAACGAGATAGAGAAATAAATAATATCTTATTATAATTCCTTAAGTTTCTCTATAAAATTCGAGAGAAAATTCATTTTTAATTGCTTATCATTCATAAAGTATTGTCATCGTAATTACACTTGGGTTTTTTCACATTAGATTTATGCAAATAATACTTATATTCTTGACATATATATACAATACGTATACATATATGCATATGAGAAATTCATATCAAATATAGACAATTTTTATTTGATGTATTCATCGCGCAACGCAATTGTCACGGTTAAAAGTGGAACGGAGAGGAAATGCATATAGAAACAGGAATGAAAGACACAAGAGATAAATTTGTACATCTGTTGTGTAGGCGAAAATCCTCGTGGGCTGTTTATTCGAACGTACGCGTACGAAAACAAGCAGTTAACAAGCGAGTGGCTGGTTCTACTCACGCGGCGATAAAATTTGCGAAATATTTTTAGATCACAGCTGTCGATTCGATTCAGGTCGCGAAACGCGCCATTTTTCCGATTTAACGATAAAAAAATATTCCACTTGATTGTATGCAAAATATTTTGCATACTACTCTATTTTAAGATTATGACGTATCCATGTTCAGATTTTACTTGGGTTTATTTTTATTTCCGCTTCTTGTTAAGAGAATATATATATATATATATATATATATATATAAAATTTTTTAATAAATTATATTTACGTATATTTCTTCTCATTTATATATTTCAATATTAAGTCTACTTTGTACTAATTTATACCATGGTTCCTTTTGATCGCGGTCCCATGTGTGCAGCTTAATGATGAAAGTTTTAAACTATCCCCTCGGGGTTGGAACTTGTACAGATTTTCGGTACCCCAAAGTCATTAAATGGAGCATTTATAGGAAATATACGGTATATGGGGTGCTGTGCGAACAGCTGTGAAAATTGACTTTTCGTCCAAGTGTAAACGCTCGTTTGCTTCATGTTCCACGTCTTGTTCCCTGCGGTTTCGAGGGACAAAACCCTCGAGTTATTCGACACCCCTTCTCGTCTTCCGTATTCGAACTTGTCCATTACTACCTATACATGTTTTTAAATATATTTGCTCGGAATTCATGAACATTTTGCGTATTCTCTACTTTAAGTATTCTTTCAGCCGACAAACTTTCAGATTCTTCGATATTTCTTTCATTCTTGTTACATCATACACGCGGAAAGGATTTTCTCTTAGAATCTACCCTGAAAATTATATGGTAATCGTGGAAGAATTTTATAAGAGTTTCTCTGGATTAATATTTATTGTGGTAGATATTAATATTTTTTATTGTAATAAAAATATTAATCAGATAAACTCTTGCTATCATATTGTCTCACGATTGGCAGATTTTCAGGGTAAATTCTAAGAGAAAACTCTCTCTGTGTATTTTTCAATTAAGCATAATCAAAAACTTAACTAATATAATAAAATAAACATTTCCATTGATAAAAATTTTATAAATTATTTTTGAAAAGATATCGATTATCGCGAATCAACAATAGAGGAGAGAGTAAAACGAATTATAATTTATTATTAATTCTGGAAAGAATGAAATATATTAATTTTAAAGGATATTCTAAGAACGACAATCGTCTTTTCCTCGTTTGAGAATTTTTATCCATTTTCTTCTCTTTTTGCAGACATCGCAATGGACTGGTCGGATCATGCACTTTGGTGGCCGGCTCGAAATCATTGGTTGACCAGAACTCGCAGCACGCTGGACCAATACGGCGTAGCAGCGGATGCATTATTGCATTTCACGCCGATGCATAAAACTCTAAGGGTACAGTTGCCGGATATGCGCTGCCTCGATTGTCGAGTTGATTTTTCGGTCAAGACGTTCAACGCGGTCATTAATTTGTGCAAGGAACTCGGTGAGTCGCGAACCTATTAACTTCATTTAAGAACAAGTAATAGAAACAAGCGTGACGTCAGATTCTCCAATCGCGTGCCTCTGTTAACGTCAATTACGGGAAATAAATATTTTTTTAAATTGATACGAAGATATGTTAGGAAAGTAAAAGTTGGGAAAGAAAAGATGTCTCTTGTATACGTTGCGCTCTTTGGTTTTTGATAAGAAAAAATTACTTGGAATAACAATAAAATATAGGCAGTTTAAAGAATATACATTTTTGACAAATGAGGAACTTTGTACACTTCAAATATATTTCAAAATAACGTTGTGTAATTTATTTCGCAGTACTTCTATAATTATATGAAAGAATAATAAAGTAATTTTTATATAGACAGATTTTTAAACAAAAATTACAAAGTTTTTTGGATTTATTTATTATAATAAACTTGTATTTTATTTATTAATACATTAGATACACTTGTATTTTATTATAAGTGATACATATACATGCACATAATAAATAAATTGCAATAGTATTTTGCATACAAGTGCGTCGCAATTCTTCTCTAAAGCGTATAATTATATCAGCAGGAATATTATACTTGAGACATAGAAATGATAAATTTGTAGTCACGCGAAGGTTGCACAAGCCATTGCGGCTTGTCGATTCACCAAGCTCTAAGCTGGCTTTTTAATCAAGGAAGTGGGTTAACGCGATAATTCGGTCGAGAGGATAAAGCTGACTTTTGAATAGAAAAAATGCCAGAAGAGATACCAGCTTATCTCGTGTTTTATAATGACTTAAAAATAATTCCCAGAATTATGTATGAAAGAAAATAATTATACGCGAGCCTTTGATTTGACGAAATTGATGGGTTTATTGTTTAATGTCGATTTAATGTTTTGTCGTTGGAAAAAGTTAGAAAGATTTATATAACCGGTGATTAAATGTGAATCGTTCATTTGATCGATTCTATTAAATAAACATCAACCGATATCAGTGTGTATCATATTTATAAATAGACTTTAATATGCAAAGTACTGTTGCACGCGATCTTTGTCCGTCAATTACTCGATTCCCTTATAAGAATATACTTACTATGTTACTGGGGAATGAATGCCATGACTGCGTCGACTTTGCCTTTCGTTTAGAAGAGAAATAATAAATGTATCTCTTTAATCTAGCTAGATGAACACGAGATAAAACACGAGATTAACACGCGAATATTGCCGCAGGTATTAGACATCCGGAGGAGCTTTCGTTCTGCAAGCCGCTCGAGCCGAATCACTTGAAATACAATTTGAAGGACTTGCCGGCTAAGAAGAAGATCGAGAATCAGAAGAACGGTCACTGGAACGTGCCGGCCGACACGAATACCTTCATTCCAGTTAGCCAGAGTCCCAGAGGATCTACGGGAAGCTTGGATCAATCCAGTCCATTTATGTGCGCGCCAGTCACATCCAACAACAGAAATCACAGCACACCGATCAGCTCTCCCGTCTCCGTAGGTTTACTCATATATAGACATCTCTATATAAAATGTAGGATAAAAAGAGAATGAAGAAAGAAAGAGACCGCGATAATTGTAACTTGGACGAGAAAACGTTCATTCCAAAATTATCATATGTAACACAAATATTTTAATGCTATCGCAAACTATCCAAAGTGTCATTCGCAATTATCATAAACTCGGTTATTACATATTCAAATCATTGCAAACTATTTGAACCTTTTTGAAACAACTGTCACTATTTTTAAGCTTTATAGTATGGATGTCATAAAAAATAATTGATAAAAAACCCATGTTTCTCTACATCCAGACTTTGGTTCATAATCTTTTTATGACATATCAACATTAAATAAAAACTAAATAGTGCAATGACGATAGTTAATTGGTTGATATTTTTGCAACATTAATAACGTGGACCTTTACATTATTTCTAAATTTACAGCATACCGGAACATGGAAGAGGAACAATAATTCTTCCGGTTTCGGTAGCACGGGCTCCTTCAACGCCAACAACAGCACTATGAGTCTCGAGGCATTAAACGGCGGATTGTCAGAATCTTTGGCGCAGAGTCCGACGTCAATTTCACCAGAAACGCGAACAAAGTTGATCAGGCCAAAGAGTCTGATCGAGAGGGCAAGAATGAACGTCGCCTGGCTGGACTCCTCTCTATCGATTATGGAACAGGGTATCCGCGAATTTGACACGCTCAGGCTAAAGTTTAAATTCTATTCCTTTTATGACTTGAATCCCAAGACCGACGCGGTCCGCATCAACATGATTTACGAACAGGCTAAGTGGCAATTGCTCGCAGAGGAGATTGATTGCACCGAAGAAGAAATGCTGATGTTTGCAGCACTGCAGGTATTTGTAACTAAATAATTATGCAAATAATATAATTAGCAAAAAATGGTATATTTATTAATTTTTAACATCTCAACTTACTGATATAAATATTATATAGATAAAAATACGTTTAGTTTGCAATTTTTCTTCTACTTTTATCAATGTGTAGATATGTGTTTTTATTCCCTCTCTTTTGATATGTTTATTCCCATTGTTCCGAGAAAAGAACCCCACGCGATGCGTAACGCATGCAAATAACTGCGTCTTTAAGTCGATTGCTTTGCCAACCGGTGTTTTGCCGTAACCGTAATGCCGTCACGTGACAAGATGTAATCATCTTTTGCCTCGACCCACAAAATGTATCTTGTATATCTTATACACCTATATATTATACTTGTGCGGCGAGCATTGAGAAGAAAAAAATGTAAAATATCTCTCGATATGTGTCTCACCTACGTTTTTCTCTTTGCAGGTACAAGTTAATCTTCAGGCGAGCGTGCCGCAGCCCACGTACGATAGCAACGGGGCGACCTCACCCGTCGAAGATGACATTGACGCGGCCCTGACGGATCTACAAGTGACTTTGGAAGGTAGCAATATCAGTAACGGGCCCAGTGACATCACGCAGGTGCCTGAGCTTTGCGACGAGCTACGGTTCTTCAAGCCGAAGCGTTTCACGCTAAAGGCCTTCAAACGTTATTGGTTCACGTGCCGTGATCTTCAGCTGAGACTCTACAAGAACAGGGAGGAGGCGAGCGGTTCGGAATCACCGGTCTACGTGATCAATTTGCGCGGCTGCGAGGTCACCCCGGATGTACATCTGTCGCAAGGACGCTACGGTATCAGGCTTGAGGTGCCCAGTGCCGAAGGCATGACTGAGATGTGGATCAGATGTGATAACGTAAGCGGATTAACTCGCTATAGCACATGTTGTCAAGTTGCGACATTATTCATTTCACCATTTCATATTAAATGTCGCTTCTGTATATGTATATGCATTGACATATAAAGCTAATATATACCTCAGACAACACCAAGTTTAAAATTAGCGCATAAGATATCTTTAAGATGTCTTTTTGATATCATAAGATTTCTTAAAGCTGTCTTAAAAATTTCTTAATGATCTTGTGTGCCAATTTTAGACTTGGTGCTGTCTGAGACGGATTGTAAGTTGTAAATAAGACGAATAAAATAACTCGAGCTTTAAAAAGCTTTTGTAAAAAAAAAAATGAAGACCAAGTATTTGATTGGGACTCACGCGCGCGAGTACATATTTGATTATATCTTTTACTATTCTAGGAACAACAATACGCAAAGTGGATGGCTGCGTGCAGATTAGCGGCCAAGGGACGTACTCTCGCTGACGCTTCCTACGAAAGCGAGGTCAACAGTATCACAGCTTTTCTACAACTGCAGAGGCCTGCACCCGCACCGGCCATCAATCCGAATGCTTTGGATATCATACCAGAGGACTACGTCGCGTCCCGATTTGCAAAGAAATTCAAAGGAAAAGTAATGAATCACTTTTGCGCATACAAATCTATATGAACGAGAGATCGACAAGTGTTATCAATACTTTTTTTTGTTCTTAGTTGGTTCAAAGGATCTTGGAAGCGCACGCAAACGTCAAAGACCTATCTCTTATTGAAGCAAAGCTGAATTACATTAAGGCTTGGCAATCCCTTCCGGAATATGGTATTTCGCTCTTTGTCGTGCGATTTACTGGCAAGAACAAAGATGAATTACTGGGTATTGCCAATAACAGATTAATGCGAATGGAGCTTCACAGTGGTGATCATTTGAAAACTTGGAGGTATAATACTATGAAGGTATGTGCTTTTATATATATATATATATATATATATATTGTGTGTGTGTATATGCATTCCGCGTATTTATATTCTATCTACATATAGTTCGTGTCTTATCGTGGATTCAAATGTCCTTTACTAAACTTACTTTCTTAGATTTTTTAAATTCTCCTCTAAAAATATCTTGACATATAAATTAAAAAGAAAACTTTTTAAAAATTGGAGTAGCATATGGATACTAAAAAAGATATGTTGAAAATTGTGTTATATAATAAATAATAACTTTTCTTAATGTTCGCACTCAAAGCCACAAAAATATTCAAAATTGGCATACTCCCATTAAAAATACATCTTCTGAGAAATGCATGATTATTTCTGTTTCACAGGCGTGGAACGTTAACTGGGAAGTAAAGCACATGATGGTGCAATTCGAAGAAGAGAATATAATTTTCGAATGTCAGTCGGCAGATTGCAAAGTCGTTCACGAATTTATAGGAGGGTATATTTTCTTGTCGATGCGTTCGAAGGAAGCAAATCAGACGTTGAATGAGGAGATGTTCCACAAACTGACTGGTGGATGGGTTTAATCTAATGTATGTGAGAGAAAAAATTATAATAGATTTTAACATATTCTAAAAAGCGATAATACAATACGTTTTGCCGGTTTATCTACATGCGTCGCGTTCTGTTCAAACGTCTGCACGCTATCTGACATTTGTAAAAATATTTAAATCTGATCATAGTTATATATATATATATATATATATATATATATATATATATATATCACATTTTAACGCTATATGATGTAAATAGAATATTGTATTCCCTTTGCGCGCAAACGAAAGAGTTTTAAGAGATTATAGCTATTTTTATTTTTGACAGAAGCCTATTTTAAAGTTTATTTACTGCTCCTTGATCGAAGCATCTTAATTTTACAAAGTACCATATATTAACAATTATTGAAATCATAGTCTTCTTTAAAAAGAAAAAGACAATCTATAATGATTTTATACAACAAATAGTCTGCAAAGCTCTATTTTAACAAAGACAAATTATACTTTTATACGAAACTTTTTTCTACTTGTGAAAAATCTGCCATTGTGAATGAATAGTATTGGATGAACGAATATAGGTATGTATAGTCAATAATCTAATACGCATAAATGAGAAAACCTGCGAAACATCATGATATATTAAAATAACACTTTGCACAACAAAGAAATGTATTAATTTTTATTTAATCAAAAAATTATTTTTAATTAGTAGATTTCTTTATATCGCATAATATTTAAACGAACGATTATAATCCTTTCTCTCTCTTTCATATAATGCGTGTGTTTGTGTTCTTTTCAAATGTCAAGGTGCTACATCGAACGAGAGTTCGACTTTACAACGCAAGAGATAGTGTGTGTATAAATTATTTGTTATTTTAATGTAAATTAGATGTAGAAAAATATATGTCACTTACATCGTTATATACATTACAATAATAAGAAATAATGCATTATATATGTACATGTAACAAAAAAAGATTATATAGTTTTGTATATTAATAGAGAGTAATATTGTATAATAAACCTATTATATTATTATTAATACATTTGGCAGAATTTTCAATTTTTATTCTCCACATTGTGCTGTAAAATATACAATTTTATATATATATATACATGTATATATATATATATATATACATATACACATAGTTTAGCATTTATTTCGCTGCAATTTGTAGATATTAAATAGTAAATGAATTATATCGAATACCATTTAATGCCAATGAATTTTCTTATTTAGATAAGAATTTACGCCAAATTATAAATTTTTGTTTTTATTAAAATAACATAATACATTATCAACATGCATGTAAGTTTGCACATATTTGATTGACTGTAATCAATAGAAAATGGAAAAAAATACTAGTATAAAGATTCGTGTAAATATCTTAAAAAATGATTAAATTTAAGAAATTATTAGCTTGTATAATCTCGTTGTTCTAATTGCGTATTGTCTTGAAATGTTCATAAATGTTTGTCTTATCCAACGGTGATAGGCAGTTGCAATTTTCCCGAAATATTTATCGTCTTTGAGGACGGCTGATTCTGATTTTCCGAATCTTTTCTTAAAGAGTGTGTTCTCGCTGTGACAGGTACATTCTCGGTTCTTGCACGTGACCCGCTCAGATTACCACCTCCGCACATCTAATTAATATGGGCGACAAATCATTTATGCTCATTTTAAATAATTCTTACACAGAGTCTAAAAAATGCATCATTGTTACATTTCTCTGATTCGTAAATAATAACGCATTCGAGACAATAAATTAGAATAATTTTGAAATTTTTCATCTATTACATTTTTGTAGTGAACAAGTAAAATCTTTTATCGTACTGATTAAACGTCAAAATATCCAATTTTTTTCATATGAGATATAATAAAGCGAAAAATTGTGTGAAAATTTTCCTTGCACTTGTATAGCTTTTAGACAGAAGATATTTATGACCGTAAATTATAACATAATGATATATAAAATGTTATACAAGATGATATTTCTGATAGATGAATTTCTGTTAGAAATTTGAAACACACAGAAATTGAATTATAAATTTACAAAAAAAAAAAAAAATTTGCATATTTAGCAATCTGAACTATCGGACGTAAGTGAAGAAACAAATTTATCGCGCGACACGTAGGAAAAAATTCACTTGTTTCGCTTGTGATCGTAGAGAGCTTAAAATACGATAACGAGAATAATATAGTTGCAACCGGAGTATGACTCGGTGGAGCTGAATGGACGAGCCTTCCGGCGAGCGAGTTGGTTCCCTCCTTCCTCGCTCTCATCCACTCGTGACCTAGCACTTTCTCGAGAGTCAGCCTCAGGGTGATGTCTGGCTCGAGGATCTGCCGGACAATGTTCTTGGCCAGCACGGACACGGTGTCACGGACGCGCGATCTGAACACCCAGTTGCGCGACTTCTGATCCTTGAGGAGCTTCCGTAGGTCCTCGTCGTCGAACGGCATCCTGCCGTTGAGCATGATGAAGAGGATGATGCCGAGCGACCACACGTCCGCCAATTTCGGATTGTACGGGATCCCGGCGACAATCTCCGGCGCAGCGTAGGCGGCCGAGCCGCAGTAAGTCTGGCTGAGGACCCGCCGACCTTCGTGGTTTACGCAGAACCTGGCGAAACCGAAGTCTGCCAGTTTTACGTTGAACTTGCGCGAGAGGAGGATGTTCTCGCACTTGAGATCACGATGGGCAATGTTCTTGCTGTGCAGATAGTACAAGCCGGATGCCATCTGACGAAACCAGAGCCGCGACTGCTGTTCCGGCACTCTGCCGTTGCTTATCACAAAATCCAGCAGATCGCCGTTATCAGCGTAACGCATGAAGATGAAGACGCGCGGACCACGCTGCAGGATACTGTGCACCTGCATCCGACACGATTCAGTATTGTAAATGTTAGACACTTTCACTTATGCCGAGTGTCAAGAGTACTTTTTAAATACGCATCTTATTATAATTGTTTCAACAAAGGCTAAAGAAGCTAAAACAATTTTGAAAACAGAAAGAGGAAGAATATAATGTGTTTTCAATGAAATTGTTCTTTCTTCGCCAATTCGACAACTAAAATTCCTGTTGTCTTACTTGAATAATATGCGGATTTTCTATCTTTGTTAAAATCTCGAGTTCGCGGGGAAAGAACTTGTTCAAGAAGTCGTCCGGCGCCTTTTTTTTGTCGAAGATCTTACAAGCCAGACGCATCTTCTTGGAATTCGTTCCATCGATATACTCTGCCAGATGGACGGTTGCGTAACAGCCCTGAAAATGTTCATTAATCCCAATGTCATATGCCTAATAATAAGTTTTCAAACAGTAAAGATATATAAAAATTGCATTAAAATGGAAACGGGCGCGCAAAATAAAATTATAAACGGACAAATATAGAGATAAGAATGCACCTGTCCGATTTTTTTGCCGATGAGATATCCCCGCTGCTCGAGAGCGTTTACCTCCGAGTTTCGGGTGCTGACTTGCGTGGCCATGCCAAGTGATTCTTCATCGACCCTTCATCACTGACCTTTCCACTGAATCCACTCTCGAGGATGGACAGTCGATCGAACGTGGATCTTCCTGCGTGTAGTATATATCCACGAGAAAGTAAGGACCAAGAAAATTTCTTTTTAATCTCTAGCTCTATTATTTTTTGTTTGGTCGCTCGCTATTCTTCGGCTGCTGGCAGTAGCAGGTTTCGCTGACGCGATTTCTTCCCTGAAGCGGCACCGAGCGGTATCTTCTCGCTGTTACATCGATGCGTCCGACAAGAAAGCGGATCCGTTCGGTCATTTGAGAGAGACAGAGAAAGGCGGTTGAGCGCACTAGAATTTTGGACAAGCCCGGGACCAGCTTGCGCTTGGTGTATGACGGGAGGAAGGTAAAGATCCGCGTTTCATTCGAGCGCAGCCATTATACTTGGAACAATTAGAACAATCGCGCAACACGCTAGATCGATCCGATGTAATCACAGATAGCTTCTCTCGCTATACATTTCATGTGTTCACGTTCTCTATGAATTTATCACGCATTACAAATACAATTCTTTCATTTTAATATGTCTGTTGTATTCCTTAATCTTAATTTCTAATTGCTTATTGATTAATTTTTTATCTACATTTTATATTAAAAAATGAATTTTTTAAATAAGAAATAAGTAAAGGAAAATGGATGAGCAAATGGATAATAAAACAATTAAAAATAAAATATATACTTAGGCATATTTATAATATATTTTAAAAATTTGCATGCATTACAAAGTATCCTAATTTCATAAATTGAACGAAAAATATATTTATAATGATTATTTTGCATATTTAATTCTACATTATGATAAAATTTGTATTTTATCATATCTTATATTTTATCATAAATCTATTTCAATCAAATTATAAAAATTATGATTATATAAACGAGCTTTACTTTTATCTATGTTTTAGTAGCTGCGCCCAAAAAGAGTATAAAACTTTGCTTTGTTTTTGCAACTATGATGAATACATTCTAGTTCATCCAGTGGTTTTGTTAATATCGGCTGTTCAAATGGTATACAAAGACTTTTGGCGCCCATTGATAACACGTCAAAGTTATCTTCAGTATCCTCTCTGTAATTATTCATAAACGTTTGAATCAAACATTTAAATTAAGTAAAAAAAAATATATCTCTTTTTTAAATTTAATTTTAAATTATTAATAAAAGAACATTTTTGTGATCTATGAATAATTGATGTGAGTATGCGGCGTTTAAAATAACTGTAAAATAATTTGTAAGCGCGTGAAAAATACTTCTTTTACATAAAAAAGAATATTACCTCGCGCTATCCGCCTTAATGTTATCTTCACACTTCGGTTCACCGCAAAAAGGTGACAGTAATAAATTCTTTTTATTCAGCTCGGGACAAAAATCGCTCCATTTTTCTACTTGCTTAATGTGCGTGGTGAGATTCTCCTTTGCTCTATAAAATAGTAAATTAAAAAACCGTAAGTCATCAACTAAACTATTATTGCAAGCACATCTCGTTGCTTAAAACAATTTTTACGATATTTACTTGTAAAACAACTGCACTTGTATATCTTTCAATAAGCAATTCAATGATGTAGCTACCGCATTTCTTTGGACAGGTATTCTCTGGAAATTATCTCTTCGTACGAATGTTACTTGATTCTTCTCAAGATCTTTGGGACCCAATTCGATTCTCACGGGTACGCCTTTTAGCTCCCAGTGGTTAAACTTCCATCCGGGCGTTCGATTATTTCTAAAATCGCCTTTCACTCTAAATTGTTCGGAACTCAACTCATCAACCAACTTGCTGCATTCGCTTTGAAGTAATTCTTTCTCTATTGCAGGCATATTCGCAGTTACGCCGCAAGGAATAACAACACACTCTATAGATGCTACACGCGGTGGTAACACTAAACCTTTATCGTCTCCGTGTGCCTGTGAATAAATATAAAACAAAGGATAAACTATGTTGCAATTACATATATGTAACAATAATATGTAGAATGTATAATTACCAATAATAATAATCTTACCATTATCATGACTCCGATCGTTCGTGTAGTTAAACCCCACGAATTCTGATAGACAAATGTCTTTTCGTCTTCTTTGACACCCTCCACTTGAATATTGAACATCTTGGAAAAGTTTTGTCCCAAATGATGACTCGTTGCTCCCTGTATCGCGCGACCGTTGGTCGAAATATACGCCTCGACAGTAGTCGTGTAATCGCCTCCCGCAAATTTCTCTTTTTCAGTTTTACGACCTTTGATAACGGGAACTGCTAATAAATTCTCATAGACTTTGGCATACATGTCTAAGATAGTCAACACTTCCTCTTCCGCTTCCGCTTTGCTAGCGAACGCGCTATGGCCTTCTTGCCACAAAAATTCTCTGGTGCGTATGAAAGGTTTGGGGTCTTTAAACTCCCATCTCTGTGAAAATAAATAAATGTAAAAATGGAACAATTGGTATGCAAAGTCATCTAGAATGAAATATTGTATTGACGAGAATGATAATCATACCACAACGTTATTCCATTGATTGAGCTTGAGTGGTAACTCGGTATCCGACCTCAGCCATTTGGCGTAAGATGGATACATGACAGTTTCCGAAGTCGGTCGTATAGCTACAGGCTCTGACAAATCCCATTTGCCACATTTTGTCACCCATGCGACTTCCGGCTCAAAATCCGCTATATGCGTCTTCTCCCTCTCCAACACCCCACGAGTAACGAAGATCGGGAAATAGCATTCTTGAACACCGAGCGCTGTTATCTCCTTGTCGATAAACTCCTTTATTATCTTCCAAATTGCAAAACTCCACGGACGAAGAATGTAACATCCGGATATGTCGTAATATTCGATCATTCCGCTCTTTTTGATAACTTGCGAGTACCAGTCGGAGAAGTTCTCTTCCTTTTTCGCTTCCAATCCTAATCTCGTGCCCGTTTTACTTGTATCTTTACTGGTCGTGCTTTTCGCAATTTCTTCCGGTGACACTTTTTCAAGCTTAGAAGCATCTTCCTTTTTCTTTTTTGATTCTGCTTCCAAGTTCAAGGCAAGCTTCCATTCTTGTCCAGTTGCATTTTTATAATCGTCTTTCAACTTCAAAAGAAGTTTCACTTCTTTATCGATGACACTCTTGTCGGCCTTCGAGCTCTTTAAATTTCGTACTTTATCTCCTTGCTTCTTTATTTCTTCAGATATTTCTGTCCCTTTCAAAGTTTCCTTCTCCATTGTTGTAGCACTACTAGCAGTTGTAGTAAGTTCAGATGGTTTCCAATCTTGCCCAGTTGCATTTTTATAATCGTCTTTCAACTTCAAAAGAAGTTTTACTTCTTTATCGATGACACTCTTGTCGGCCTTCGAACTCTTTAAATTTCGTACTTTATCTCCTTGCTTCTTTATTTCTTCAGATATTTCTGTCACTTTCAAAGTTTCCTTCTCCATTGTTGTAGCACTACTAGCAGCTGTAGTAAGTTCAGATGGTTTCCAATCTTGCCCAGTTGCATTTTTATAATCGTCTTTCAACTTCAAAAGAAGTTTCACTTCTTTATCGATGACACTCTTGTCGGCCTTCGAACTCTTTAAATTTCGTACTTTATCTCCTTGCTTCTTTATTTCTTCAGATATTTCTGTCACTTTCAAAGTTTCCTTCTCCATTGTTGTAGCACTACTAGCAGCTGTAGTAAGTTCAGATGGTTTCCAATCTTGCCCAGTTGCATTTTTATAATCGTCTTTCAACTTCAAAAGAAGTTTTACTTCTTTATCGATGACACTCTTGTCGGCCTTCGAACTCTTTAAATTTCGTACTTTATCTCCTTGCTTCTTTATTTCTTCAGATATTTCTGTCACTTTCAAAGTTTCCTTCTCCATTGTTGTAGCACTACTAGCAGCTGTAGTAAGTTCAGATGGTTTCCAATCTTGCCCAGTTACATTTTTATAATCGTTTTTCAAGCTCAAAAGAAGTTCCACTTCTTTATCAATGACGCTCTTGTCGGCTTTCGAGCTCTTTAAATTTCGCACTTTATCGCCTTGCTCTTTTATTTTTTCAAATATTTCTACTACTTTGGAAATTTCCGTACTCGTATCACGAGAAGCTATAGTAAGTTCCTTTCTCAAATCTTCGAGAAATTTCATTTCGCGATCGATAACATCCTTTTCGATTTTCGAGCTTTTTAAAGTTTGTACTATTTTTTCTTGTTTTTCCATTAGCTTGTATATGTTATCCATTTGTGAATTTTTGTTGATCCGCAATTTATGAGTAGTAAAACCAACTTTAGGTGATTCCCAATTGTGACCGGTTATCATTTTATATTCTTCTTTTAAATTTGAAAAATTTTTCGTTTCTCGATCAATAATACTCCCCAAAATTCGCAAGTTACTTTGTATTTTTGAGATATTGCTTTCATTTGTGAAATTTCGTTCGTCTGTGCAGTATCTGTACTCTCAGTTAATTTCCCCTCTCGATCAATGGCATTTTTATAGTGATTTGTCAAGCTTAGGAAATTTTTCATTTCCTTGTCGACAATGGTCTTGTCGGCTTTCGAGTTTATTAGTTCTTGTATTTTATTTATTTGTTTATTTAGTTGTTCGGATATTGCTTTGATCTTTGTATCGCTGCTGCTGGTATTAGTAGAAGTGATTTGAATTTTCTCATAATCAAGTCCAGTTATCTCATTATAAGCGGACTTGAACTGTTTCAGTTTCATCTCTTGATGTATCATTATATCACACAAAAAGTCTCTTATCTTACAAACACCTTTCTCAAAGTTTTCTAAGATTTCTTCCTGCGCCGAGTTTATCTTTTCAGATTTGATATGAGAATTCTGACCAGCTAATTCTTTCGTGTTTTCTACAGTTTTTTTTCTCGTAATAGGAAAAGGTGTTGTCGCGTGTCCGTCGGGTATGTGAAACAATATAAGAGGTTGTTCACGCAATGAATATAAACTTTTAGGTGCATATGGAACGTCACAAATAAAGAAGCCTTTTCTCTGAAGTTGAATAATCTCTCCCTTCTTTACACGTTTCAATTCTGTTTCACCCCACATTTTAACTTCTGCCTATAAATAAAAATTTCATGATATAATTGGCAAATTAACACGCGTTGTTTCCATAGATAAAATTCTTCGTGACTCTTACCCTTGTATCCTTGGCAACAAAATCTTTAAAATCATCATCTTTCTCCAAGACTGCTTTATCCATAATATGATTGAAGTAAACGGCATAACACATTATTGGATTTAACTCTATTTCACATTCGGCATTGACCGCCTGGTCATTTTTGTCTAATGGTGCAGCTATCCATGTAATCTTTAATGTGTTTTTGTAATATTTATCCGTTATATTTAATCGTGCGTTCACGTCTACAATATTACCAGACTTGTCCACATTTATCTTTTCTATCATTAAATTACCCCAATTTATAAAGGTTGCATTCTGTCCCACAATTAATGATTTGGCGTCCTCTTTTTCTATCAATACTTTAGGACATATTCGCACTCGCTTGTTACCTTTGGAAGGATCTTTAGGATGATTTTGCACATTCAACCACCCTTCATGAGCATCTATTACATTAACTGTTACTTTATCATAATCCAATGCAGTATACCTGAAATTGTAAGTAAATGTTTAAAAAAATTATATTTCCTAATACACTATTACAATGTATATCTGGTTTTTTAACAGCATTTAAAATACCTGACCGCGACGGGATCGATGACTTTTTTGTTGAAAGCCCATATCTTGTCCCATTCCATGAAGACTACAGATTTAGAGCTACCCTGTGCGATGATGAATTGTCTTAAACCCTCGAGTGTCATTCCTCGTCTCTTAATACCTCTCACAGTCGGAAAACGCGGATCGTTCCATCCGTCGACTATACCTTCGTCTACGAACCACGTCAATTTCCGTTTAGACAATACTGTATAAGTCATGTTTAAACGTGAATATTCCCATATATGCGGACGACTCAGCTCCAAGGCATCGAGTATCCAATAAAATTGAGCATCTCTATCGTGATATTCCGTTGTACGTAGAGTGTGAGTAACTTCTTCAATAACGTCCACGATTGGACAGGCAAAATCATAAGTAGGGTACACACTAGTAAAAATAATAATAATTTTGAGAACTAACTTAATAGATTTTGAGATAACTAACTTATTTTGAGATAACTAACTTAATGTAAAAACAATATCATATATGTATATATAAACTATAAATGTAAAATGTTAATATAAATTAACACATCTCTCTTAAAATCAGCTTCATGATTGATAATATTAAGACATTTTATTATTATATACAATTTAAAAAGCTATATCCAAAAATGAGAAAAATTAATATAATTGAAATACTCAACATAGACAGAATACAATATATCTTTACTTTAGCAATTACTGTTTAGTTGTTGCCATTGCACAACCAACGTCGCATTACCAGACTTTCCATAGACGAGATATAATAAATGTCTGCTGAATAAAATCAAGAAAAAAATATATATATATACATACTTATACTTGTTTCCAGTACGTGGATGGGGTTCTGGTTTGCAACGATAAATTGTTGGATCGCGCATACATCCATTTGTTGACTCGTAATCTATCTTTGCTCTAACGCAACATTCTATACCTTTAACAGTACCTTCTTTCATTTCTTGCCACATTTCAAGATTTTTTTCAACAGCTAGAAAAGTAGAATAAAATCATTTGAGACATTATCAGAGAATTAAAATAAGTCTTCTCTTACAAAATAACTACTTACAATTGTCTCTATTTTCAGATTTCAATCTTCCATCGCGTTGTTTCTTCATAATATGCGCCGGAGTATTATCCACAAATGCCTTTCCATTTGAGATTAGCTTAGTACAATATTTTTCTAATAAATCAAAGTAATCTGAAGTATGCGTAAACTTGTCAGGTTTAATTTCCAACCATTCTAAATCTTGCAATATAGCTTCTTCAAATTCTACGGTTTCCTTCGCCGGATTTGTATCATCAAATCTCATGATGAGTTTTCCTTGAAAAGCCTCGGCATAGTATTGATTTAAGAGAGCCGCTTTGGCATGACCAATGTGAAGGTAGCCACTTGCTTCTGGTGGAAATCTTACTACTACCTACAGATAAGTGTCAAGTCATTACAACATTTTTAGAAATTAATTACAAATTAATTTACGTTATATTATATTTTACTTTGCCCATTTCAGCTCCAGGTAAATCAATAAATTTACCCTCCTGTTTCTTCATGTTTGTTTGCTTAACAACAGATTTTTCCTTTTCAGGCATTGTATTCTTTGCTTCAGAAGATGTAGAATTTTCTATGTCTTTAACTATATGCAATGCGTTTTTAAATGCAGGAAGTGATTGCATATGCTTATACCATCTAGTAATGTTAGTATAGGCTTTTCCATAATGTTTTATGTACTCTTGGTTTCGCAAAAAGCAAAATAAGTATACATCGGCCAATGTTAATCTTTTGTTAACTAGCCATGTACGTGTTATTAATATATTATTGATATAATTCAATTTATTTTCTGTTGTTGATACATCAGTAAATTTTTGCATGGAATACGACATCCAATGATCGACTTCTGTTCTCTCATGAAGAGAGGTACCACCTAATATACAATATAAAATAATAAGTTACATTATTTTAAACTAATTGTAAGTATATCTTAAACTTTTAGCTCAATGTAATAAAGTTTTATTAGAAAGAAATAGCATTATCATTAACAATTGGATCTTTGCATGCTTTAACTGATTGTAAGTATGCAAAAATAATTGCATATTCTTTACCATAAAGTGCAGTATTTATTGTTCTTGCCAAGTATCGATTAATCTCATTATTAGTTCCTTCTATTATTAATTTGTTATCTTTATCATATAAAGAAACCTTTCCGTGCAATCCTTGTTCATATATTATATCTATACTATCGCTACCCTCAGCATTAATTATCTCAGTCACTATCAGCAACTCTACACAAAAGAGTAAAATAATTAATGTACATTACAATTTTGTTCGCACCTTTAATATCACAATAATGTATAATATTAATATAAAAATTAGAGTAAATATTATATCCATGTATTGTCTATTAACTTTCTTGTGTAATAAGAATTATATTTCAAATATCACAAATTTTTTTATATATACATATGTATATAAAACAATTGTATCATTATATTTTAAATTATTCTTCAAATATGAAATATAGATACCTAAAAACTGTTACAAAATATATACGCAGATATCTGAATAATTTATGGCAAGTTAATACCATAATTGTAACTATATAATAAATTTTATAGCATTTATCTCATTTATTTTCCAATTATTTTAGAAACATTTTTAAAACTTCCTATAAAAATATAAAATAAGAGCGGATGTATTTTTATAAGAACTAATAATCATATATTTTTGTATTTGTGAAACAATATAACAAATATAAAATAATATGAAGAAACTTAGTCTTTCTATAAAATACATAATCTTTTACATCTTATCATGTATAAACATTTAATAATGTTTCTTCAAACTCTGTGTAATATTACAGTTGAAAAAATAACTATTATTTTTTATAAAATATGGAACGAGTTTTTCCAGATACATGACAATGTTTTAAACAGATAATAACTAAAATGCGAATTAAAAATAATAAAAGTAAATAACATTGAAGCAGTGTAAATAAATCAGAGAAATTTGAAAAAAAAAAGAAAAAACAATATTTTTAAATGAAGAAAACGTAAATATTAAACACATTAACCTGACTTCTTTGTCTTTTCTAGAATTAGAATTCTAGAATTAAAAATTTTGAGAATTTAATTATAAAAGTATATTATACCTATCTCGGGAGAGACGGAGTCGATAACGAGTTTAAATTTCATGATAATCGCGTGATTTTTCTAAACTTTCACTTTTAACAATTAAAATCAAGCCAGCACACGTGTACCCGCAAAAATGGTGAAGGGCCGTGTGGGCCATACCAACCACGAACACATAAAAAACATAGACGAGCATACAGCAACTCGGACAAAAGACGCGTCGAGAGCCAATCGACTCGCAGTTTGTCCGCGCGCGAGCATTCGATTGGCTGGCGCTTTGCGTCCGATGCGCAATAATGCGCATGTGCGAAAGCACCGACGAGGTACTATTCAAGATCGGCAGCCCTGTGGGCTCGGCATCGATAATCATGATAATAAATTATTCATAAGAATATTTTATCCGTTCTACTATATTGTAAATTATAATTATATAATAGTTATTTATATTCAACATAATTAATTATTAAATATGTATATGAGATATTATTAGGAATTGAATAGTACCGACTGCTCTCGGAGCGCTGCCGGTTCCACCGGAAATGAAAAGTGACTGACCAGCCGTAGCGGAAAACTGGCTGACGGAGGGTTTACGTCAAGATAGGTCGGTTACCTGGAGATAACTGTAAAATGTCATCGGCGAATGTGTGTCAGACTCAGGTATGGACTTGACGCCGTGCGTGCATTACGGTGTGACACCGCTGGCTGGTTGTTTCGTCGCCGTTCTGTCAATTATGTCGCCGCGAGCCTGAAAGGAAGGATAACAGCCGCGTCGTACAGCTACATCTGAGTCCCAGCTCATCCGAGGCGCACAAACAAGTACGTAAAGAGAGTCAATATTCTCCCTGCAAGAGACTGCGTCTGAAGCTCCTCGATGTTGAACATTTCATCGCTGTGCGGAGTCGTTTTCCCCGCCGTTTTCTCGCTATTTCTCTAGCTTTGTTCCGCAACAACAATTTGCGCGAGGATATATCGAATATATTGGAGATATTACAGATCGATTGTGTGGAATTTTCTTCTTACCGGGTAAGCCGCGTCATTGAGGATACTTTGGGTCGTAAAAGATTACATGTCTTCGTCAGATTGTTCTCGCTTGCTCGTCCGTCCTTCGGTCGTTTTTTCCAAAAAACCGATGAATAATTTCTTAGCAGACCAGAAGAGACCAACATACTTAAATCAGAAATAACTGACTGTTTTTGATAGACCACAACTGGTTTTTTTTAATGAAACTTCTTTGGCATTATGACTGATGACAAATGACTCAATTATGTTTGCACGTAAATAGTATAATAAACTGGAGATTTATTCATATTTTTTAAATTTACATTTTAGTATATATTTAAAAATTGTCTTGCAATTTGCTCATTTTTCATCATATGTGTATATTTCAGGTTTTTTCTTTTACATCTCTGTTATATGTCTTGGTTCAATCTTTATAGAAGATTATATTACTTTTTTTCAAAGTACAAAATGTTTTATCGATTGGTTTTCCTATTAATTTTTTTCTTCACATTTGAGAATAAAGAGAAGATAAATTATTTCAAATCTATCGCATTGTAATAAAATAAATTGGGAAATATCTAAACATAATAGTTACATGATATTATTTTTACATTCATAAATATATTTTACAGGAAAGAATCACAAAGCATCATGGAGGGAACAGAAGTTACATTTTTATTCCAATTTGGTCTGACACGTGACACAGTCACAGTCGACAGTAGCACGCTTACTCTTAAGGCTCTGAAAGACCTCGCCTGTGATTTTATAAACACCAAGTGTCCAGAGCATGGCTTAAATCATCTATTTGAAAGATTAATTTTATTCAAGCACGATTACAATTCTACAAATGTTTTACAGCTTATTACAAATGCTACAGAAGTAATTGATGAAACGCTAATTGAAATCGTGTTGACTGGTAAGTATTTTCCAAGTTGCAATGTACAATTTTGATTATTTATACACACGTATAGACACAACATATAATTATATATAATTTATATATTTCTATAATAATATTGTTTTGAATATTTTAGCACAAGTGCCAAGTGAATACATTCCTATTCGACCTCATGCTTTAGCAGTACATTCCTACAAAGTTCCAACATTTTGCGATTTTTGCGGTGAAATGTTATTTGGGCTTGTTCGACAAGGTCTCAAATGTGAAGGTACATATGATAAATACTTGAAATGATACAAGCTGTATTATATTGTATGTTGATTTCACAATATATCTGTAATTTAATAATTACAAAATTTATTTTATGTAAATTTGTAGGTTGTGGTACGAATTATCATAAGAGATGTGTCACTAAAGTACCAAATAATTGTTCCCAAGATACAAGTCAAAGACGACGTAGTTCGGCTATGCTAAATGTTCCAAGATCACCAAGTCAAGGTTCCACTAGCAGCCTGACTAGTATTACCGATGATAATCACAGTTCAAATAGCACATCTAACACAAGCCAAAATAATAGTACATTGGTATGAGTGAAAAGTATTATTTTTTATTATGGTTTTATTAACTTTATGTATATTTTTGAGAAAACAAATAAATACAAACGATATTTTTATTCTTTTTATTTATGAAATTCTTTGCGTCTGTCTGTATGTATGTGTGTGTCTGTCGGTATGTGTGTGTGTAAATAAATAAATATATACTATCTTGTAGGCAATACCGAGTATTATGGCACCAAAACAGTCCGCTTCACCGTCATTAGGAGGACGGCCTGTTTGGGTTGAGCGAGAACTCGCAACGCGAATAAAAATTCCGCATACATTCGTAATACATACATATACACGTCCGACTGTGTGTGGGCACTGTAAAAAATTGCTAAAGGGCATATTTAAACAAGGCCTGCAGTGTAAAGATTGTCAATATAATACGCACAAAAAGTGTTTGGATAAAATACCTAAAGACTGTACAGGAGAAAACTTGCGAGACAATATAGGTATAATGGTTTTGTGATTGTAAAGAGATTTTGTAATTTTCTATACAGTATAATAAATAATAGATTGAAAATGCTTGCACATAGGTGAATATCCAGATAGTGGTGTTAGCAGCGAATTAGAAACTAAATGTGATATTAAGAATGAAGAAGGTGATGCTGACAGTGACACAGAATCATCACTTCCGCTGCAAGATGTATCGTTTACGAGTGATGAGACCAAGATACCCGATGATTATACAGTAAGTTATTTTCTTCTGCTTATGTTGGAATAGAATTTTTGAAAAGACTGATTTAAAATGCTAATAGCAAAATTGTACATTTACAGGATCATGTACAAAGTAATAACGACGTTGCTTATGATGAAAATCAAAAATCACGACCATCAAGGTATAATCTTTATTATATAATATGCAGTTCTTAAAATATCTTAAATTTTATTTTTAAATTTGAAACACTTTATTTATTTTTGAAACACTATTTATATTTCCTTATCTTCTCCCTTTTGTATTTAAAAAACAGCTGTAGTTCTACACCGAGTAACAACATTCCATTAATGCGGATAGTACAAAGTGTAAAACATACTAAAAGACGAGGCTCCAAAGTATTAAAAGAGGGTTGGATGGTGCATTTTACGAATCGTGATCCAGTTGTAGGTATCTACAAAAATACTGTAACACTTATCTCCCTTTCAATTTATTATTTAAATTAACAGTCATCTAATAGACGAAAATATATACTATTTAACATATATAACATGTATTGTAATTTGTTTTCTATATCATATTAGCTATATTACTTTTATATCTTTTAATCCCTACATATCAAGAGTCATTAATCATTGATATAAATCTTTTCAGAGAAAGAAACATTATTGGCGGCTTGACACAAAGTCTATAACACTATTCCAGAATGAGAATAGTTCTAAATATTACAAAGAAATACCATTATCTGAAATTTCAACAATTGAAACCGCTAAAATACCTCGTACACGTATGTATGTTCTTGTTTGCAAAACAATTTAGTAGCTAAATTTTCTTGTTTTTTGTTTTATATTTTTCTATATATTTTTACTTATTTTTTTTTGCTTTTTTCTTTTTAAAATTGTATGTGTTAAACCCAATGAGCTTTTCTTAGTTAATCTTTTTTACACATTGTGCCTATTTTGTATTATAGATATAATACATTGTTTTGAACTAAAAACTGCCAATGTCGATTATTATGTCGGGGAGGATCCATCGTACGGAGAGAATTGCGGCCAAGTCTCTCCTCCCGAAAGCGGTATCGGAGCTCATATAGCTAGATCTTGGGAAACTACTATTAGACAAGCACTTATGCCTGTAACTGTATCAACTAGTATGTATATTTGATTTGCTGTCATAATATTCTGTGCAAAGTAATTAGTGCAACTCCTTTTCTTGCTTTATATATTTTATATTTTTTATATTATTTAATTTTATTACTCGTATATGAAGATATTATTTTTCGATTAAAAATTTTGTGATGAAAGAAATTATGCTTTATATTTATAGATCAAGAAGAATCTACCGAACCGGAGGAAAGCATCACTGATATGTCACAACTCTATCAAATCTTCCCGGATGAAGTTTTAGGATCCGGACAATTTGGCATAGTTTACGGGGGTGTTCATCGCAAGAGCGGTCGCGCAGTCGCTATCAAAGTTATTGATAAATTACGTTTTCCCACCAAACAAGAGGCTCAATTGAAGAACGAAGTAGCGATTTTGCAAAATTTATCGCACAGCGGCGTTGTGAATCTGGAACGTATGTTCGAAACGCCAGAACGAATATTCGTGGTAATGGAGAAATTAAAGGGTGACATGCTGGAAATGATTTTGAGCTCTGAACGCGGACGACTCAGCGAACGAATCACCAAATTCTTGATAACCCAAATTCTGGTCGCATTGAAACATCTTCATAGCAAGAACATCGTGCATTGCGATCTCAAGCCGGAGAATGTATTATTGAGCAGTGATACAGACTTTACTCAAGTAAAATTATGCGACTTTGGGTTTGCGCGGATAATTGGGGAGAAAAGCTTCCGAAGAAGCGTCGTCGGCACCCCTGCATATCTGGCGCCAGAAGTTTTGCGAAATAAAGGCTACAACCGATCCCTAGATATGTGGAGCGTTGGCGTAATTATTTACGTGTCATTGAGCGGCACATTCCCGTTTAACGAGGAAGAGGATATTAACGAACAGATTCAAAATGCCGCCTTTATGTATCCGCCAACTCCGTGGAAGGAAATTTCAAGTGACGGTAATTAACTCTCACTATT